AAAATGATCAGGTCTCAAAGGGTTTGCAAAAAAAAAAATCAAATCCAGACAGTTTAAATTAATACGCGGGGGTTTAAGTTGTCAACTACTGCAGTAGAGAAGGGGATGAAATGCAGGTAAATCTTGAGGTGCCCTTGTTGTCTTGGCTTTGTCAGATGTTGTGTGATTTTGCTGTGGCATCTATATCCTACCAGTGGGATGTGATTAATGAATATTGCAAAATACCTTTACACAGCACTTTATACTGTGGTAAACACAACGAGGACAGAATTTAAGTAAACAGTTTGGAAGTAATGGAAGTAATAAAGTTTTATTATGTAATAGTGTAGAAATAAAATGCACACCATGCCATTAAATGGATTAGGGAGATAGACTTTCTAGGCATTAGAGGACAAGGGAAACTAATTAATTTGACTCCACATCCTCTTGATCACAAAGGCCGCATTATTCTCACTGCCTTATCTACTTTCTTCTCTGCTCAATCGACCATAAGAAATAAGAGCAGCAGTTGGCTTAATGTTCCTTCAGCCTGTTGTGCATTCTGTAAGATCATGGCTGATCTTCCACCTCAAATCCACTTCCCTGTCTTATCTTGTATTCCTTAATTCCTTAAGTATGCAAGAATCTGTCATTCTTATCTTGAACAAGTTCAACAGCTGAACATCCACAACCCCTTGGGGTGGAGAATGCTTGAACAGATTCCTGCTGAAACACAGATCCATTCCTTTCTAACCTGCAGACTTGTCTATTTCAAAACTGCCCTGGCCAGGCTGCCATGCTCCATATGCTGTGAAAGACAGTTTGTTCTGTCTTCGAGCTGTATCATTTCTTATGCCAGGTTTGACTCACTTATTGTACCTGTCTTTGTTGACCTGTATTGGTTCGCAGTCTCCTAATGTCACTCATTTAACATTTTTAAAAGTCATCTGTGGATTCCCTCTCCTTTCTTCCTTGATGTTCACTCTACACCTCTTCTGTTTTCGGCATTCATTTTCCCTAATCACGTGAACAATTTAGGAGCCCCTAAATTCCTCTGCTACTCAACTTCTTCAACCTTTTGAATAATGTTGTGGGCAAAATACACATTTCTGCCCAATACTGATGTTTCTCCATTATGTGTTACATATACATTCTCTATTGTCTTGCATCCTTTATGGTGCTTGTGGTGTCACTGCAGTCTTCAGAGCTGTTCTATCTGGACGGTATGGTTTTATCTCTGCAGGCTGTAACTTCTGTTTCCTCACCTGTAGTAAACAATGTGATAAGACAGTGGCAACTTGCTCCTGTATCAAGCATAAAATTAATAGAATCTGTTTAGGTTAATGGACATTTCTGTCAAATTCTAATTGATGTTAGGTCACTAGTTTTCCCTCGCAATGCATTGAATATATCTTCTAATGCTGATAGGTCTACCTCATTAACATCTGAGTAGCCATTTTCTGCTCTGTAACTGTGTCCTAGGCCTGCAAATTGCCTATATTTTTACATATATAGCATCTTAAAAAAAAAAATAACTGGGTACTACCTGTGCTTGTGAGGTTTCCTTGATCCAAAGAGCTGACACTGACTCTTTGTATCTGGTATCTGGCCTATTTGGCTTGTCAAGTGTACCTTTTAGGTGTTTTGTACCTTATGGATTTTGTTGGCCTCCTGTGTTAAGTTTGTCATTCTATTCCCCAGATTTATCTATGATGCTTCATACTTTTCTGCTTCCAGCGTATCTGAATAGTTTTCTCCAAAGTCAAATCTTATTTGGCCTGTTATGAATCCAACAATACTCATCAATTCCAACAACAGTTCTGTCGATTATAAATTCTGATTTCAAAGCTCTGTTGTCAAAACTTTCCACTAACCTTTGCAGGCCATTAGAACTCCTCTACAAACTGAAGAAGAATCACTGGACCTGAAATGTTAACTCTGCTTTATTTCCACAGATGCTGCCAGCAATTTCTGTTTTTGTTTCTGACTCCCAACATCCGCTGTTCTTTGGCTTTTTAGCATATTTGCTTGTTTGGCCTGTGTTTTATTATTTAAGTAATTCTGTCTTTTAAAAACTTTTTTCTCCAAGAAGTCAGTCCTGTTTGGCTCTTCTCTGAACTTAAATCTGCAAGGAAATTTTATTTCTATTGCTATTTCTTCCTAATGTGGTTATGTATTATTCTTACTGTAATGCTTTTTAAATTCTGTAGTATTTCAGTGCTGCTTTAATCTCTTTCCCAGGTCAATTTTTTTCTTCATTATTTCAGTGCTGTTTTATATTCCTTGTCTTATGGCTTTAACTTCTGTAATAAAGCAAAGCTCTTTCTCAGCACTGCTTACTGGGTGTTTTCCAGGAGTTTTGCAGCTAAATTGCAGATTTCCTGCCTTCTGTGGCCAAAATAGAGGTTTACCATGTCCTGCATACAAAGGTCTTACACTTGTTTTGTGACAAAATTTTTACAGCTTTCACAGTCGAGTAAACAGTGTCTCCTTTTCCATAACTTTTCCACATAATGTCTAGTGCCTATGGTCTTATGAAATTCTTTCCACCTGAACTATGGCTTAAATTATGGATCGACTGCACGCATCATGACCTTCTTAGTTTAACAGAGGAAAACGGTGAGAAAACTGTTTAGACTGGTAAATTGCCTCTTTATGTCCTTAATTCTGACCACTGCTAAACCACCTCACTGCTTGACTGCATTCAGAACTGCATAGCTTGCCACTTTGCTCAAGAATGGGGCAAAGAGTGAGGTGGTGGGTGAGGCATTGATGGCTCTTTCTGAATACGTCTCTGAGACAACGGTTTTCTCACTAATTTCAGGGGCACTGCTTGCATGGATGCTTTAACAAAACCAACACAGAAAAGTCAGTTCTGTCAGACTACAATGTCCCTGGATTTCAATGAGTTGATGCTGAATGGTTTCCACATGTGTGATTCCTGCACCACCTAGTCATGGTCTTGACAGTAAATACAGCCCTACTATTTAAGTCCAGTTTTTCCCTTGTTGATCTTTCCATGAGTCTATCTTTAGCTTGTTTGACAGTTCAGCTGCTGTAGCTGCCAACTATTTGTATGAGTTGTTCTTAATGAAGGGAAATCTTTAAAGCTGCAAATGTCCAGTGTTGCTCTTGGGTCTACTGGAATGCTCCATGTTACATTGTGATAGGAATCAATGACTCCAACTGGTAGCTGTTCTGTTAGATGTGCTGTGATGCCAACCACTACCAGCTTGTGGTTGGGTAGTTTGCTGCCACTGTCTTTCCTTCATGGAGGAGTGTGCAGCAGGTCAATATCACTGTGATATAGACTGACAGTGAAAAGGGTTGTGGTTGTGGGAGATATAGACTGGCAGCAGAGAGCCTGTTCAACACGTTTCTACTTGTCAGAGCCAAAATAACCTCACTGGAAAATAGATTGGTGATTGGTAGGTATTTCTTCTGTGTCTTTTTTGATTGGCCAATTGATTTAAATAAGCTGAAGGGTATTTAACATCCAAATTAATTAATTAAGTAAAATAGAAATGGCTGAGTAAGTGATGGGTTGCACCTATATGGGCATTGTTGGATACTGAAACACTTCACATCTGCAGCAATTGTTGGCTGTTTACTGAATTTCAACATAGCTGATGAGCTTGTTTCCAAGCTACGGACACTGTGACAGATTGAGGCAGATTGTTGTGAAGGTGGGGAGTTATTTGGACACTGCTTGAGTAGGCAGTCACGTCTTAGATTAATTATATCAAATTTGATCCATGGTCACTTAAGGGAATGGAAGGTGTGACTCATGATACAAGTATTAACATCTAGCATATAGCTTTGGAGGAGCCTGAGCCAGTGCTCTTCTCCAGTAGGTTTGATGTTCTTGCTTCTGGTGTGACCAAGTAACTAGTGGAGCGCCACAAAGATCAATTCTTGGAGGAGTGGGTAAAGTGTAATGTATCCCAATTTGCTGCTGATACAAAAAAATGGATGGGACGGCATGTTGGGATGAGAACACAGGAAATCTGCAAGTGGATATACATAGGTTGAGTGGGCAAAAACTTGGCAGATGGAATTTAATGTAGGAAAGTGTGAGGTCATGCTTTGATCAGAAGAATCAAAAGGCAAATGTTATCTAAATGGGAAGAGACTACAACTCAGAGGGTCTGCGTGTTCTCTACCCCAGAGAGTTGTTGAGGCTAAATGACTGCAAGTTTAAAAAAGGAGGTAGGCAGACATTTGAAATATCAGAGTTGAGAGCTGTGATGTGCTGAAGTGAAAGAGGAGTTAATGTCTGGGGAAGATTAGCCATGATCTTAGAACATGCTGGGGCAGGATTGAGGGGCTGAATGGCCTATTCACAACCTATGGTCTTATGGAAGATTTAGGGCTTATCTAAACCCAGTATCCACCTTCATAATTGTGATGTCCCCCCAAAGCCTCCTCCCTATATTCTTTCGGTACCAACTGATGATGCCCTGCCAGCCAATATTCTGCTCCTGCTCCTGTTCAACTGCTACTTCCACTTTGGGTAATACAGTTGAGGTCGGGGTAATTGGTCCTTTTTTTTCCTTGACCGCCACTGTTACTGCCTGCCAAACCACACATGCAGTTTAGCAATGGTTCATGGTTAAATTTGGCCTAAATTATCAATTTTGCTACAGTTTTAGGGCTCTTGTAGTTATTGGTTATATTAAGTGTACTGTACTTGCAAATGCAATTTGGTGTTGCCTGCTTATGTTTATCCATAAAACACAGTGCAGCCAAGTAATGGCTTTATTGACAGTCATAACATTAGGCTATCCAGGCAGTGATGTAAAAACACAATACTTACTCCAATTAAATGTAATTATGAAACAGTAGGCTAAAAACAACTACTGAATCTAAATGCTTCAACAAATCAGAATTCAATCACTGTACTCTGTCTTGCATGTACTTCTCCATTAAGCTGGCCAAAAAAACTTATTCAGCAATGTTTTTATGAGTTCTGAAAATAACAATCTTCTTTTTAAAATACTCATCAATCTTTTCACTCTTAGGGGAATGGACATGAGCGAGATTTTATGGATGACAACAGAGTCTATATTATGGATGTTTTTAATAGATACATCTACCCAGGCGATGGATTTGCAAAGCGTAAGTCAAGTTACTGCTGTTGAATTTCGAATGTAATTAGTGTTGCATACAGTTTTATGTGCAATGAACTTTCACCGCTGTAACAAGATATAAAAATAAATTGAATGCACCTTTTTGAAATTGATCTGGCATGTGTGACATATGAGTGATTGCTATGGCATGGAATTTGAAACAATAATTCATTTGCATCTTTCACATACCTGCTTAGATTCTGGAGAAACTATGCACTGAGTAGACACATAAAAAATGTCAAAGTTATCTCCCTTCAGTTCCTAATTCTGTAAAACATGTGCAGTACTTAAAACTTCTATCAGTTGTTACTATAAGCTATCAGTGCAACTATGGAGCCTGCCTATATGTTTAGGATTTAGGCTATTTATTACTTGGGTTACTGTTAGAGTAAATATTTACGACAAATTGGGTCATATGCCATGTGCTGAGAGCAAATTTCCAGACTGAGCCTTGTCCTATCCTAAACTAAATAATGAGTCAAGAGTTTATTGTTTCACAGCAACCTTTTCTTCCCAATTGGTGGATTGGTTTCGCTCTGAAGTCAAAGTATACGTCACATGTGTTGTAGTTTGAGACTTCACATGGTCTTGTACTCTCTGATCTGAATCTGATGATTCTTGAAGCAGGCAACATGGCAGCAGGGCGAGTTAATAGGGAGCTGAGATTAAGAAGGCGAGTTCAGACTGAACATCAATCATTTGTGTGGTAGTGGCATGTTGGTCCTCCCTTTCCTTCCCTCACTTTTTAAAACTTTAGAACGTAAATTGGGTTTCCCATTCCCATTACCTGGCTTTCCACGCACTGTATTATGGGTGAGGCTAGGGTAATATTGAGCTTTTAACAAGCTCAGTTGACTGTTAATTATTTTATTTAAGTATGAAAGGTTTCCAATGGGGTCAGCCTGAATGTGGATGGGAAATTGATAGTCTGGACACCCCTGTCACACCCCCTCCCCCAACTCCGCCATATTCCTAAAGTTCTTATTAAAGGGCACAATTTTCCAGACTTGAAATGAGGTCCTGGTGGGTAAAAGCAGATCTAGAATCCATGCAGCAAACTTGACAGAAATGGAGGTAAGGTCAGGGAAGAGATGGTGCTTCCATACAGACTGGTTGGGGCCCAGGGTGATGGGGTAAGTTAAAGGAGGGGCGAGAGAAGGCACATAGTGATGTTGGGAGGGTCGACGTTGATGAGAACAAAACTAAGGTGACAAGGGGAGGGTGCAGGGTCACTGGTTGCCATTTGAGGTCATTTACACACTGTTATTGGCTAAGTCTATAAACTTAGTAATAGCTGCCAGGAGTGCAGATCCAACTGGGACAAGTCCAGTGTAGGGCGGGAAAAGTGGAAAACCTTGTAGCTCAACAGCTCTAAGGACGAAACCCGTGGACGCTCAGATTCTCCAACTGTATCACTGATTGCCTTTGCCTTTTCCTCACAATTCACTTGGTGAGCTATCTCATATGCACACACGATATTTTTGCAGCTTAGCAGGCAGTAGGAGCATATGTAACAAAGGTGGCAAGGCACCAGAGGGACAGGCTGATCAGGAGATCCCTGTGCAAGGTAAGCATCAGCGATAAGTCATGGACCCATCAGTACACTTTCAGGGCACTGACAGACTTCCTCAAGATATCAGAGAGGCAACGTCACAGCATGTCCTATGGAAAACTGTCGCTAAAACATGCCAGATCCTACAGCAAAACTTGCAGCCTCATGGGTTTGGCAGAAACCACACATCAGTTACCCTCTGTGATTATGGTGCTCAGTTTTTGGCACTGCCTACTTCCAGGCCTCTCCAGGCAGCCCGTGAGGTACTTCATTCAGCAGTATCAAAGAAATGATAATTGCTGCTTTGTGTTGTCTTCACCGCAGATGAAGAAGCCAGGCTGTCAGATTTTGAAGCATTGCTCATTCCCCTACACTTCCCTGGTGTGCAAAGAGTGATTAATCGTATTTATGGTGCTAGTTGGCTCCCTCCGATCAGCCAGCAGCATTTGTGAACCAGAAAGAACTTCATTCACTAAACATCCACTGCAACCAAAGGTTAGCAAATCATACAAGTCTACACCGTATTCATTTCCCAGGGAGCTCTCCTTCTCATATCCCGTGGAACTTGCAACTTCCTGAGCTTTTTGAGGCCTCAGCTCAGATTGATGGCTGTATCCTTGGTAATGAGAGTTATTCCTCTGGACCTACTGGCACCAGTGCACCCTTTTAGAGAACGACAATGCAGCCTCATTTATACCAGAGCTATCATCAAACAGACAACTGGCATGATGAAAATACATTTACACTGCCTTAAGTCTGGAGAGGCTCTGTAGTATGCAGTGCACACGTGTCATGGCTAATTATAGTGACTTGTGCACTGCACAATATGACCATACTATATGGTGAACACTTGCTTCAGATGATAAGAAGAAATAACATACTACCTCCAATGAAGAGGAATGCAATGAGTTTGAGAAAAGGGACATTAATGTACATGAGTCTCTATTGGATGCTAAGGCCATGGAGAGACATGCCAAAGATATCCAGGAGACAATGGCCCAGTAGGATAATCGCTGGACTGTTATTCTAGAGATCCACATAATGTTCTGTAGACCTGGGTTCACTTGCTGCCATGGCAGATGGTGGAATTTAAATTCAATAAATACAATCTGGAGTTAACAGTCAAATGACATTCATGACTCCATTGTTGATTGTCATAAAATTACCTCTGGTTAACTAATGTCCTTCAGGGAAGGAAACTGTTGTCTGTACCTGGTCTGGCCTACATTTGACTCCACACCCACATGAATGTAGTTTACTCTTTACTGCCCTCTGGGCAACTAGGATGGGTAATAAATACTGACCTAGCCAGCGATGCTGTCCTGCCGTAAATGAATTTAATCTCGTGAGATAATCTCATGTAAACAAGATTTTGAGATCTTAATGGCCGTTGAAACATCACCCGAACATGTTTGCCGGCTCAATGTCTACCAGTCCCTGTTGCTTTCCTCCTCTGGCTCACAGTTTCAATGTCATCTTCCACCTGGAATGGCAAGGCCAATGGACCTTGTCACAAACACTGGCTATGGAGGACTGTTATCCCAATTACTATGGCAGTGAGCGTATGTCGTGCCAAGATCCCAGAACCTGCTCCATCATTGCAGGTCCTTTTACTTCATCCAAGACATTTCATTTGTCCTGATGAAACATAATCTCAGACAATCTTCTTGACAGTGGAAACATTGCACGTTCCTCTGTATCCTACAGATGGACACACCAACTTGGACATGAATATTAATTATTTTAAAAATTAACACAAATAATACCATAGACAACTCCTTTACAAGGTAGGAGACTAATATTCCCCTGCAGCCTCCTTTGAGTACCAACCATTAGGCAGGCCAAGATAGTTAAGTTCTGACTAAGGATAATGATGCACATATGAATAAAATGAAAGCTATATAGTTTGCAATGTTTTCATATTACAGAGTGAATCTCACATGTACACCCATGCCACCTTTTGTGTGCTCATAAATTTAAAGTTTTCTTTTTCTATCATTATGTCTTACAGTATCACAGCAGTGGTGGACGTAGGCAGCTGAGTCTGATGCCCTGTTGCCCCTGTGCTGGGGCAGAGGCAGACGCTTCCTGCCATGCATTTGGGAGGCAATTGATTATTTGACAGAGTGGGTGAGGAGAGGCTACTGACTGTGGGAGTGCTTTGAAGGAAAGTCCCCAGAAAAAAAGCCCCCAGGGCAATTGAGACATGTTTCTCCTCCTCGCTGCTCAAGTCCAAATTGTGGGGACCAGTAAAGGAGACCAAGAAGAAAAGCAATTTGGTTCCACGAAAGCTATAAGCACAGCTTAGTTCTTCACAGGGTCCTGAGCATCCATTATGCCAATACCAGGTGTGATGCATTCTGACTTTAATACATTGCTATTCCAACCCCCCTACTCTCACATGGTTTCTTCACAGCGAGTACAAGCCCAAGCTATTCAACTGCTCCTTGTACAACAGCCCTTTTTCCCTGGAACCAACCTGATGAACCACCTCTGAACTGCCTCCAGTGCCACCATATCCATCCTCAAGTAAGGAGACCAAAACTGGACCCAACACTCCGGGTCTGGTCTCGCCAACACCTTTATAATTGTAACAACACTACTTTTATAAGTCGGCCTTTTTGCAGTAAATGCCAGGATTCCATTTGCCTTTCTTATTACATGCTGCATCTGCTGACCCACTTTCTGAAACTCGTGCAGAAAGACGCCCAGATCCCTCTGCATTGACATACTTTGAATCTGTTTACCATTTAAATAATAATTTGCCTTTTTTTCCTGGCCAGAATGGACAAACGTGCACTTATCCACATTAAACTCCATCTGTCAGATCCTGGCCCATTCTCCTCGCCTGTCAATATCCATCTGTAAACTCTTTATCTCCTCATCACAGCCTGCTTTCTCACCTATCTTAGTATCATCCACAAATTTTGCTGTTGCAATTTTCCCTGCTAGCAGATCATTTATGTAGATTGTCAATTTAAAATGAGAATTTTTTTATTACTCAATGGAAAGTATAAGTTTTTCATTAAAAAATATTAGGAATACCATATTATTGCAGATAAATTGGTTGGTGCTGATCTACTGGAAAGTTTTAATTTGAAGGTGAAACTCGGAGTCATGTTCCAATAGAGTATGTCTCTGTTAGTTAGACAAATTCTCATTTGTATATGGGTGGTTTTTGCAGTTCTTGTGAAGTTGATGTTTTTTGGAATCTGCTGTCGAAGACATCATATAATGTTGCATAGTATGATGGATGAGGTTTTGTGTAATCCTCTGACAAAGTGTATCATGCTGAAATCTGAATTTTCAGCTGGTTTCATAAACAGTGGTTTAGAGTACAAAAGCCAAAAGACTTTTGGTAAGCTTACATAAAACTGTTTGACTCACATGTCCTAGAAACAGGAGGAGCACCAGGGCTCGATTCCTCCTTATGGCCC